GTGATATAAAGTCGCACTTGTGTGTTATAAAGTCAGAATTGTGTGATATAAAGTCGTAATTGCGTGATATAAAGTCAGAATTGCGTGATATAAAGTCACAATTGTGTTATAAAGTCAGAATTGTGAGATATAAAGTCGTAATTGCGAGATATAAAGTCAGAATTGCATGATATAAAGTCGCATTTTGTGTTATAAAGTCAGAATTGTGAGATATAAACTCGCAATTGCATGATATAAAGTCGCAATTATCTTTTAAAATGTTTTATTCTGTGGCGGAAACAAAACATAAACACTTAAAAAATAGCAGTAATGGGACGCCAGGGTATTCATGGACATTGCCACACACAGTTAAAGTGAAGGGCGGCCTCTTACCGTATTGCCTTTAAAAGCAGGTGCAACTAACACACACATCAAACAGCTTCTCCTGCCGGCGTCCTGTGGAGCAAACGCCCTCGGAGAGAGTGGAAGCAAGCGGGACTTCATCAATAATAGAACAAAAGCTGTAGGACCTCCGGCTTACCAGCCTAAAACAAACACAATGGCAGTGTTCAAAGAAAACTATAATGAGCAGCTCCGCGACTTCTCAAATCAATGTCTTCTGAGCCGGCCGCTCACACACACACACACACACACACACACACACACACACAGATCAATGAGGCTTCAGGGAGACATTCATCCCTCCATTACTGCAGATTCAAACAGATCATCACCTGTGAGGAGTCGAGATAGCTAAACTCTAGATTAACCGTCAGCGGGCCTTTAAACACACTGAAAACATGCGGTTGGGCATGGGTTATCAATTCTGTGAGATGAGATGACTTTGGTGTGTGATAATATATGAGAAAACTTCAAATTAATTCTGAAATGAGCATTTATAGAAGATGGAATTGTCCTCGAAAAATGCTCTTTTACCAGAAAATACATACTTTTTTATATAAAAAAAATGGGTAACACTTTAGTTTATGGTCCAATTCTTCCTATTAACTATAGTTGTTTATTAGCATGCATATTATTAACTGTTTATTAGTACTTATAAAGCACATATTAATGCCGTATTCTGCATGACTATATTCTACATCCCTTAATCACCCAATACCTAAACCTTACAACTACCTTACTAACTATTAATAAGCAGTTATTAGGAGTTTATTGAGGCAAAAGTCATATAATAGTTGGGTAATCGTGACCCTAATCTAAAGTATGACCAAAAATCGATTTTAAAAATACATTTTGAAATGAAGTTGTGGTACAAAACATGGAATATTTGATGTTTTAATTGTAAAAATATACTTTACGTGCCTGAAAAGACGTCAGTCATGATGAGCCCCCTGATTATCTTTATCAATTATAGATGATAATTTCTAGCATTTACCTGTGTCCTTGATTCCATAAAATGGAATAATTTCCATCAGGACTGGATATAGTATTTAATTACAAGGGCACAAGGTCTATAACTGCGATTACTGTCATTTCTATTGCAGACGGTGACATGGAAGGTAGAAAAGGGCATTCAAAACTACAACTTTTTTGCGTTTTATTTGACGTCTCCATGCATCTGGGATTTAATGGCACGCTGGGACACACGGCTCGTTGAAAGGCTGGGCACGTCGCTCGATGTCAAAAGCTCATCGCTGCAATTACGGCTGAAACTCTTAGCAATCATCCATCAGAGCGGCTGGAGTTCAAGAGTTTTATTGTCATGGTTTATCTGCTTTAATCACCTGAAGTGAAGTGGAAATAAATGTAAAAATACATTCTGTGAAGGCTAATGACTGTCGAGTAGCTTGTGGCCGGGAAACGTCTCGCAAACCCCAGCGTCGCTCTACAACTGGGAACAGTGGGTTGAAATGAATGTCCAGCTCCAGACTCCTGGTGTAAGCTGACAGGGTTATAACACTGTACTGTAATTATAACTTATTCCCATCCATATTCGGCTAAAAGAACACAACGGCCCGTACAAAAGGCCTGACTGATTTGATCCCGAAAATTGCTCCTTTCACATTTAACATAATTAGAGTGTGATTTCTGACCGAATAATTTTAAGGAAAAGAAAATCTGTCACCGTCTGGAAATAAGACTTCAACCCCAGGTGAGACAATGTGTTCCTGTTCATAAAGTCAGAGTATCTGCGGGGTTTATCAAATCATATTTAAAGGGTTAGTTCACCCAAAAATGAAAAGTAATGACTAATGACTCTCCCTCATGTCGTTCCAAGCCTCCGTTCATCTTCGAAACACAGTTTAAGATATTTTAGATTTAGTCCGAGAGCTTTCTGTCCCTCCATTGTAAATGTGTGTACGGTATACTGTCCTTGTCCAGAAAGGAAATAAAGACATCATCAAAGTAGTCCATGTGACATCAGTGGGTTAGTTAGAGTGTTTTGAAGGATCGAAAATACATTTTGGTCCAAAAATAACAAAAACTACGACTTTATTCAGCATTGTATTGTGTTCCGGTTCTGTTGTGGATCCGCGTTCAGTGCCGCCGCTGACGTAAGACGCTGCTGACGTGTGTCTGGTGTGTGTGTGTGTGTGTGTGTGTGTATTCGGGTTCTGTTGTGGATCCGCGTTCAGTGCCGCCGCTGACGTAAGACGCTGCTGACGTGTGTCTGGTGTGTGTGTGTGTGTGTGTGTGTGTGTGTGTGTGTGTGTGTGTGTGTGTGTGTGTGTGTGTGTGTGTGTGTGTGTGTGTGTGTGTGTGTGTGTATTCCGGTTCTGTTGTGGATCCGCGTTCAGTGCCGCTGCTGATGTGTGTCTGGTGTGTGTGTGTGTGTGTGTGTGTGTGTGTATTCCGGTTCTGTTGTGGATCCGCGTTCAGTGCCGCTGCTGACGTAAGACGCTGCTGACGTGTGTCTGGTGTGTGTGTGTGTGTGTGTCTGGTGCGCCTGAGCTTCGTTTACAGTCTGAGGGAGACGCACGCTGGAAACAACACAATCTTCGCAAACATGTCTAAGGATTTCCACACAGAGGAAGACTTGCATTTTTTTGCCCAGCCATATTTATTTGAACCCGAATACACGGACGCACCAGACACACACACACACACACACACACACACACACACACACACACACACGCACCAGACACACGTCAGCAGCGTCTTACGTCAGCACTAAACGCGGATCCACAACAGAACCGGAATACACACACACACACACACACACCAGACACACGTCAGCAGCGTCTTACGTCAGCGGCGGCACTGAACGCGGATCCACAACAGAACCAGAATACACACACACACACACACACACACACCAGACACACGTCAGCAGCGTCTTACGTCAGCAGCAGCACTGAACGCGGATCCACAACAGAACCCGAATACACACACACACACACACACACACACCAGACACACGTCAGCAGCGTCTTACGTCAGCGGCGGCACTGAACGCGGATCCACAACAGAACCGGAACACAATACAATGCTGAATAAAGTCCTAGTTTTTGTTATTTTTGGACCAAAATGTATTTTCGATGCTTCAACACACTCTAACTAACCCACTGATGTCACATGGACTACTTTGATGATGTCTTTATTTCCTTTCTGGACAAGGACAGTATACCGTACACACATTTACAATGGAGGGACAGAAAGCTCTCGGACTAAATCTAAAATATCTTAAACTGTGTTCTGAAGATGAACGGAGGTCTGACGGGCTTGGAACGACATGAGGGCGAGTCATTAATGACATCATTTTCATTTTTGGGTGAACTAACCCTTTAAGGCTTTTAGGGCCTTTTTAGGAGCTGCAGAAATAGAGTGAATATCGTATGAATGAGAAGGGCAAGGTAACATGAATCGCAAACGACTGTAAAAAAAAACATGATTTAAACTTTACAGGTTTTGAACAAAATATAAAAACGTATTTGAAATATTTGAAACGTGCATCGCTCACATTTATTTCATTGAATCATCGCCTTATGAAGTTTAATTATCACATTATTCCTGTTTTACGTCCCCAAATTTGCTCTTGAAATTAACAGTGCATTAACTAATGTTAACCAATACAATATTTGATTGTAATAACGTATTAGTAAATGTTGAAATTAACATTAACTAAGATTAATAAATGCTGTAGATGTAGAAGTATTGTTCATTCTTAATTTATGTTAACTAATGAAATTGTAACGTGTTACAGACTTTTCAGAGTGTTTACAGTAAACTTTTTATGGCCTTAAATTTGATAAAACTGAATTTAAGAGTTTTTAAAGACCCTGAAAATTGAGCACAAATAGTGTAAGATACAGTTTAAAAAAAACCTGCAGAAAAGATTGTTATGATTTATGTTTAATAAAGTAAAAAAAAGTAAAAAATAAGAAAACAAATCTTTATTGCATGTATGGATGTGTGTGTATATATATATATATATAAACTTTTTTCCTAACTTTTTTATATAATATTAAAAAATAAAGATAAGAAAATGTATTTATAAGATATTTATTCATACAAGCATGTCTTCATAGATATTTTTATAATATACATTACATAATATAAATTACAAAGGAAGATATTTTGAAGAATGTCAGTAACCGAACGGTTAACTGGACCCATTGACTTCCATAGTAGAAAAAAAAAAATAATACTATGGATGTCAATGGGTCCAGTTAACCATTTGGTTACTGACATTCTTCAAAATATCTTCCTTTGTGTTCATCAGAAGAAAGAAACTCATACAGGTTTGAAACAACTTGAGGGCGAGTAAATGATGACAGAATTTACATTTTGAAGTGAACTATCCTTTTAAGGATGAACATGTTTCTGTCCATCTCCTATTCCTCCAGCACTGGATCGAGAGCCACATCTCTCTCTTCAATGAGAACGTCAAAACACAAACTGGACACGATCCAATTTATTACCAAATGTCTTTTCACACATAATTGACAGATACATCGGTTCACAGTTTGGTCCGTGCGTGCTGACACACATATCATGCTCTTTTACTGTATGCTTACATAAAACAACCTGACCTATTGAGCTTATATTTGGGGTTTTTGGTCTGGTAAGGTGAAAATAAAAACATCAAACCAATTGGATATATTAAAATGAGAAAAGGTACTGTAAAGGGAAGGGAGGAGTGTTGCTGATCTTCAGTCTAGGCGCTCGGCCCTTGGAGAGCTTCAGCCATGAACAGCTTGCCCAGGTTCTGAGACGTAAACTCCTTAATGGTTTGGCAGTACGTGTTGATTTGACCTGAAGAGTAGATGGGGGGAAATTCACATTTAGAAAGATTTAGGTAAATAAACACTGTGGTGAACCAAACAATGAACAGCTGGACTTTTATTAACTAACATTAACAAAGAGTAATAGATACTGTAACAAATGTATTGTTCATGTTAGTTAATACATTAACAAATTAATCTTATTGTAAAGTGTTACTCATATAATACACTGATAATAAATGAAAATAAAGTTAAATATATTATTTCAGGTTAAATTACAGTATTAATTAGTTCAATTTCACATATATATCAATGTATTGGTATATTATTTTTGCTACCTATACATTTGTTGTTATATTATTATTGTTATATTTAATTGAAATATACATTTCAAATTATCATATTTAACACTATTATCACACAGATAATACATCTGTATATACTATAGAATCAGCGAATTAAACAAATATTTTTTATTTAAATATTTACATTATATTCAGTATTATATATTCAATATTACAATATTGTATATACAATATTATGTTATATTGAATTATTTAATACTATCCATGTTATTATTTAATATTATTAGTGTACATATTATAAATAAAATGACATACATCACTTTTAAAATCCTCTTATTTGAAGTGGTATGTGTGATTGGTGCCGTTACCTCAAATAATCACAATTAGATCAAGCTTCTTACTAGCAGCATCAAAAGTTGTGAATTGTTTAATAACTCATGTGCAAAACTGGCATGTTGAATAAAACATCCCCCAAAAAATCGGAAAGATTGCAAAGACTTCCCACATAATCCTTTTCAAAGGCTGAAGATTGAGAACGGGAAACAGCTCTATAGTTACATAACATCTACATAAAGTCCAACCGTTCAGGAGACACATCACCATCTGATCTATAACACACTCCCTACATAACAACTTACAAACAATTGCTTTAAATCCATCTCTGGCAAGGCCTCTGTAATGTTCCTCATAAATCACACCTCCTTCCCCTCATCTCAACTCCACGGGAGAGAAAAAAGGGACGAGTCCAAATCTTTCCAGATCCAAATGAGATGAAATGAGGAGGAGATGTGAACGCTGTGTCGGGACGTCTCGCATCGCTCGAGAGCAGAGATTTGGCTAATCATCCTCTTTATGAACATTATATCCTTCTACTCAACCCTGTGAAGCCTGACATAGGAAATAATAGTGGAATATATATATATATATTAGGGCTGTCAAACGATTAATCGCATCCAAAATAAAAGTTTGTGTTTATATGTGTGTGTACTGTGTATAATTATTTTGTATATAAATGCACACATGTATATATGTAAGAAAAATATGTTATTTATATATAAAATGTTTATATTTACATAAAATATACATTATATATAGGCTACATTCAGTTTATATACAGTATATACATGCAAATATTTCTTAAATCACATGCATGTGTGGGTATTTATGTATAAAAATAATTATACACAGTACACACACATATATTATGTAAACACAAACTTTTATTTTGGATGCGATTAATCGCGATTAATCGTTTGACAGCCCTAATATACTTTTTTTTTAAGGTACAGTTTATTGAACCTTAAGACAAAAGGTTTTTTTTGTCAAGTATCATACTCAATAGGCTATATCAGGCTTTTATAGCTCACACTGTGCCCTAACCAGACATGATGCGATCCAGCGACAAATCATTAGTCTGTCCACACTAGACGCGACTGCGAGATGCGTCAAAATCAATCAAAACCCACAGCCAATCAGAACAGCGTGTGGGCGGAGTCTCGCGGCACCAGAGAGAAATCTTGACAGCACTCGCAAGAAAATGTACATAATCAAACTCACAAATATTACACCATTTAAACACTATTCAAATACATAGGCTACTGAGTTACTAAAACAATCTTTGTCAAAGAATACACTTGCTTGTTCATAGTTTGAATGTTCTTGTTTCCATTGGTTTAATTTCAAGATCTGAGGTGAATTATCCACTGTTGCTTTTACAGCTGCAAAGCTGGAGCACTAAATGATATTCAAAGTCACATTACACACTTTTAACATTAAATAAAGCACATTAATAGTTTGTGTTTGTTGTTCCAGCGCGACGTCGCAGAAATATAGACATGGTGTCATATGTTTTAGTGAGAATATGGAGCTCAAACTCGAGGAGAAATAAAACACCTCTATTTCATCCAGAAGTCAAACTGAGCACAAATATGCAATTTAGTGCAAATGCTGATATTTATAGAGCCAAAAAGTAAAATGAAATTCTGAGTGCTTGTAATGTAAATCAGTGCGTCTACACTCTCATGATGCGATTATAATGGGATGTTGGCAATATTGCGATTAAACTCTCTCATGTTAGCGCAATACTTCTATCAAACTACACTCATAATCATAGTAGCCTCAATTGCAGTAAACTTTGTGGCTTATGCAGATTTTAATCACAATACACAAGCAATAAATCACCTTAATTATTACCGCCCTGTCCAAAGTGTGCATGTTCTCGGCGAACACAGATGACTTGACATGACATGAGACATTATTCTCAAGTTTTTCTCTCCACCACGAATCGCTGAACTCCGTTACAGCGGCATTGAGATGTTCGTCACAGCGCTGAATAACCTTCCAATGCAAACGTGTTTTGCATTTGATGCAAGTAGATTAAAACACAGGCCAGTAACATGCCTACTGTATCAGAGGTCATCATTTGTATAATGGCGGTAAAAAGTACCATTTATTTCCATCAACGATCTGAGGTCAAGATGCAAGAGTCATTTTGGAACACGGCCATGATGTGTCATTTTTTGCCAGGCAGTGTATATTATAAAATATAAGATTTTTAAAAAAAAATATACGTATGAGTTGCAGGAAGGATCACGTACTGGCGATGAGCAGCGTGTCCATGCGTGGAGGCGGCTGGGGAGGCTTGAACATCTTGCTCAGATCTTCCTCTGGAAGAGAAGGCTCTCCTCGACTCTGTCTCTGTGTGTTCTCCTGCTGGCGTCTCTGAACGTACTGAGGGATGAAGAAGAGCAAACGGTTATTAACTTTAACCCGAGGGGGAACCTTTAAAGGGGTCATCGGATGCCCATTTTACACAAGCTGGTATGATTCTTTAGGGTCTTCGTGTAAAGTTTGTAACATGCTTTGGTTAAAATTCCTCAATGGTTGTGTAAAACAACACTCTTTACCTCCTCAACAACAGCTCTGTTCACAGCGACCCGTTTCAGTGCACGTCACTTTAAATGATAATGAGCAAAAAGGGGCTGTTTACACCTGGCCACTTAATGCGTTTTCTGTGATGGGATAGCTATCCGATCGTGAAAAGACCAGGGGCCCTATTTTAACGATCCAAAGCGCAAGTAACTTTGTGGGCGGGTCTCGGCGCTGTTGCTATTTAACCGGCGGGATAAATGACTCTTGCGCTCGACGCAAATCTAAAAGGGGTTGGTCTGAAGTAGCTTCATTATTCATAGGTGTGGTTTGGGCGTAACGTGAAATAAACCAATAAGAGCGTCATATCACATTCTCTTTAAGAGCATGATGAACGAGGTGCGCTTGTTCCATGGCGCAATACTATAATAACGGCGCATTTACCAGACGCGCTTCAGAATCGGTTCACAGCCGAGGAGATCGATGTTCTCGTCAGGGCCGTAAAAGAAAGAGAAGTGACATTGGGGATGGGACAAACCCACCCAAATTAGCTTCGGTTAAACATGCATATAATAATTTGGGTAAATGTGTAAGCTTTATGGCTATTTTTCCCATCGTCATGGACACAACAATGATTTCCCTCGTGTTTTAATATTTTTCCTTATAATAATGTATCATTTGCAAAAAGTAAAATGCATCTGTGTATGAGAGAATCATCTACAGTGTATGCGCGTTGTTAACACTCTGTATTGTGGCCAAGCATGCGCGCTTAAAATAGCCTCTGAATGTGCGCGCAACGCGCCACTGACTTTAGACAAGGTTTTTTCTGGTCAGTGGCGCAATTGTTTTTTGGAACTGCAAAATAGCGCCAGGGATTGTTTGCGCCGGAACACGAATCCTTTTTTGCGCTGAACCGCCCAGGGAGCGCAAATTCATTCCCTAGTTTGCCGGCGTGCGTCTGTGGAGGGAAAAGCCCGCTTTGCACGGGTGCAAAATACGAATGATACATGCGTCGGTGCACAAAGGCAATTGCGCTGGGTGCAAGATAGGGCCCCAGATGTAAATGCTCTCCGAAATGCATTCGAGACGGATTTAAATCCGATCGCTCAAACCACTTCAAGAGGAGGTCTGTAAATTTTACTCCTCCCAAAAATGCTAAAAAATAAACGTATGAGAGTATGTTATAGGCTTTATGTCATGTTATAGTCGGATATGACAACGCTACTGTAGAACGCATCACCGCAGATCTATTCATCAAGCCAACGTGCAAACTATCGCAAATCAGAGTGAAAGTAAGTCGCAGACGCTTAACACACAATCATCTTCATTAAAAGTAAAGAAACAAAATGATCTTACCAGGGCTGTTGTCGCTCTCTCTTAGTGCGGTTTTTGATTTCGAAATTTTAGCTGATGATCAATAAAATGCAGCTCATATCTGTTGCTTTCGGTGACGTGCACTCCATTAAATCTGCATATAGCGCGGGAATTGAAGATCGGATTTATATCCATTTTGCAAAAACACATTTAAGTGACCAGGTGTAAATGGAATCGTTTTGATAAATCAGATAGCTATCAGATCTGAGAAAACGCATGAAGTGGCCAGGTGTAAACAGCCCCCAAAGTGATGCCTTCGCAGACAAACAGCTGAGGGCGGAAATATGCTAATACGGGGAATATGCTAATACGAGAATATGCTAATACGCGACAGTCTGTCAGCGGTCGTGGGCGGAGCATGAGCAATATGACATCATAGTGCTCAGAAAATCCAAACGGCTTGGTTATTGAGAGTGTTTAGTCATTTTGAAGATTAAAAAAAAGGAGTGATTTGGATTTTTTTTCATTGTATTGCTGTTGTTTCCACACACTGCAACGACACATTTATATGCAAACACCAAATAAAAGTGAATTTTGCATCCCTTTAAAGATGGCCATGACAGAGAAGACTGATGGTGTATTTAAAAGCAGCTGTAGTGGGAATTGGATCTGATTAAAGAAATGAGTAAATAAAGAGAGAATCGCTGTGTCACTGCGGTATCAGAGGAGTTTGGGAGGTCGCGTGTTCTTCAATCAATCATGAAGTTCAGGGCATCAGAGCAAGGCCATTACCGTCTCGTCTCTCTCATCCCGTACAGACCTTGATGCACCGCCACTCAATAAATCTCTTCTTTATAGAGTCAGTCGGGCCGCTTCTGAACCCAGACACTCTCGCTTAAACAGGACCATTTGCAGCGTTGTTTTTGAAAATTAACAAAAACTTTCTTCACACTTAAAGTCCAATAAAAATGATATTTAAATTAGGGATGCACCGATATTCAAATTTCGGCCGATACCGATAACCGATAATTCTTTATATTTGAAAGCCGATAACCGATATATTGGCCGATAAATCTAAATCCAAATTTTTGTATAATTTTTGAGAGCCTGATTACAAAAACAAAAGTCTCATCATTAAAAGCCATGTCCCAAACACACAATTATAATGTTCGCATTATCACTTTATGTAGTTTATATGACAGACTTGCATGTTGCACTTAACTGCATTTTCCTTTTTTCCAATCATATTTCAATCATGTTGAACAGTGTGCATCTGAAGTGTCTCAGCTGAAGGAAATAATACATTATTTATCGGCTTTAATATATCGACCAAATTTTCTTATCGGGCCGATAACGATAACATTAAAAATGCACATATATCGGCCGATACCGATATGGTGGCCGATACCGATATGGTGGCCGATACCGATATGGTGGCCGATATATAGTGCATCCCTACTTTAAATATATTAGAAATCATATTACTTTGTGTAGAGAATATGGAAACTATTTTTAGGACCATTAAAAGATTTAATTGTTTATTTTGTGAATTCAAATCAGCTTAATTTATGTACTACTTTACAAAGTTACAACTTAAGTACGAGTTTGGGTCAGACAGATTTTTTTTTTTATTTAAAAATAAATATTTTATTCAGCAAGGATGCATTAAATTGATCAAAAGTGACAGTAAAGACATTTATGATGTTGCAATGCTGTTCTTTTGACCTTTCTATTCAACAGAGATAATATTAAGAAGAAGAAAAGTTACTGCAGCACCAAATGAGCAGATTAAAAATGATTTTATTTAAGATTTTAAATATTCAACTATTTATTAAATTTGTATAAAATGCATCCATTTTGTATTTATTTATTCATTTGTATTCATTCATTGGGGTGAATGGAGGGGAAATGCGTTTAATATCACAATAAATAAATAAAAAACGCAAAAATATATAATTTCCTATTCTTGTCTTTTGGGGTGAAATATGATCCAAAAATGTCTTGACAGTTAGAAACACCCATTATATTGTCTATACTCTGCATTAACAAATAAACACTGATTTAAGAGTAAAATCTTTAATTGCTAAAACTACCAACAAGCCTCTAAAGTGCAACCCTGTGTTTTCGTAACAAAGCTTTGATTACAGCCTCAGAGATAATTCCTGGGTTTCAAGTTGCACAGTTTCATCAATTACGACTGTGATATAATTATATCTTTCAGAGTATAACATCAAGAGTGAAACATCAAGCCTCATCAGCCGCTCGTTCAGCCGTAAGCCCCTTATTGTGATCTTTGTGGTGACAACCTGTTTTCCCAGCAGCAGACGTCACGCTAGCAAGGCTACCATTAAAGTCACTAGCGTTTACATGCTTATGATAGCTCTCATCCCACCAGAACATCAAAGCGTTTAAAAGTGTGTGTGTATCAGCGTCACATGACTCCGTTCCCTTTCTTTAGCCTGTTTCTTCAGTCGTGAAAATCCGATTACTTAAAAGCAGGGATATTATTGTTAACTAAAAATAAAACTATTTAAAAAAATCCTCATTTACTCACCCTGTTGTTGTTCTAATGCCGTACGCCATTTTTTGGACCACAAAAGGAGAATTTTTACAAAAATCAGTCCCTCCAGAAAAACGCGATTATGCGATCGCATGATTCAGTGCATAATCAGCCAAAGTGCGCATATTTATGCAGGTTTTTTTGTTTTTTGAAATACGCCGCACTTTCGACGCATAAATTGCCGATTTCCGTGCAAAATATGCGGGGCTTACATGATTTCATAATCCTCGCATTTTCGGTGCAAAAAAGTCACATATATCTTAGCAGAAAGTTGAAAAATGTTGCGTTTGCTTCACACAAGAGCCGCCGTTTCCCCCCGTTGCCATGGGAACGTTATGAAGTGACGTAATTACGCGACGTGAACACCATCGAAAAGCTGTAAAACAGGAGCACACTTTGTTTTTTTTATATTTTATTTATTCATTTTTACAGAAGTTGTAGCATATTCCTTTTGTAAAGCAGCAGAAATTGTTTGACTCATCAATGTTTTGTAAGTTTGATGTGTTTATTAAGATCTGAAATAAAACAAGATGAGAACTTAAATATTCCCAGCACTTTCTGTGATGTATATGCTTGCTTATCATAGGAAGTAATAAGAAATGACTCTTTACATTAAGGTAGGAGCCTAGTGAGAACAAGGTGTTGGGGAATCACTTTTGTTTCTCTTTTTCATCAAACTGCAATTTTTGCAAGTTCCCGCAATTTCATCGCATAAAATTGCATAAATATCCTGCATATTCCATCGCATTTTTAAAGAAAACGGGCCGCATAATCAAGGATTTTTGCCCGCAACAATCAAAAAAAATATCGCTCATCAAGCTTTAAAAGTAAAAGTATTACAGAATGATCCAATGTGACACGAGTCGTATATTTCAGGTGTTCTGGGTGTATACGACATGGTTTAGTAAAAAAAAACTAACTAACCGGAATTAATGTGTTATTGAACATAAATCGACTGCGCGTTCATGACTCAGTGTTGCGGTTCACTCCGACTCGACCAGAAACAAAACACAATGAACTTTCTTCTCTGAGGTGAATATATCTGTTGTGTTCGTCGTAACAAGAAGTTATCGAGTTCAATAATCTGTGATTCTGACGACCAGAGTTCCAGTACAGAGATATTCAACTCAGTGAAGAAAGAGTACGGACACTTTTTTAGGGATTTCTAGGCGTTGTATTTCATGTCACGTTTTCATCGATCTTGATTTTTCACAACTTGTGTGTGTTATTCTGGGCGAGTCGGAGTGAACTGCGACACTAAGAGTCTCTTGAATGTGACCAACGGCCAAGGTTAGGATTTTCATTAAATAATACATTTAATTCCAGTTTGTTTTTCACCAAACCCTATTGTATCGACCCAGAACACTTGGAATATACCACTCGTGTCGCATGAGATCATTCTGTGAGACGTGTGTCTTTTTTAAGCATGATTTTTTTTATTATTCTCCTTTTGTGGTCTGAGAAAGAAAGAAGGGCATACCGCATTAGAACAACACCAGGGTGAGTAAATTATGACTTATTTTTCATTAGAAATTAGAAAAGTTGCATTGGCAATAAACTGAAATAAGTTTAAAGTTGAATCACTAGAATTATTAATTGGAAATTTACATTTATGCATTTGGCAGACGCTTTTATCCATTTCAAGGTACACATTTACATTATCAGTTCTTGCTTTCCCTGGGAATCGAACCCATGACCTTGGCGTTGCAAACGCGAATGCTCTACTGTTTGAGCTACAGGAAGGCTAAATAAATAAAAACGAACTAAAACAGAAATAAATAAATCTAATCTAAAAAAAAAGAAAAAAAAAGTAAAACTAAAGATTATACAAAAGATTAATAAAACCAAGATAAAACGTAAAATCACAGCGTTTTGAAGTACTAGCACACTTCTCTCAGCAACAGTGTGATTTGAGGCATCATGGGAAGCATGAACACACAGGTGTCTCACTGAAGGGGAAGCATGAACACACAGGTGTCTCACTGAAGGGGAAGCATGAACACACAGGTGTCTCACTGAAGGGGAAGCATGAACACACAGGTGTCTCACCTGATGTCTCTGCTGCTGCTGTTTGCTCAGACTCCGGCAGTGGTTGTTGTACTTGATGATGTCCTGACTCATGTCATCCACGCGGTCCATCAGCATCTGCAGGCTCTTCTCCAGATGAGAACTGCAGAGGAACAACCAGGTGCTTGTTCTTTAGTGAACACACACATAAAACAAATCTGTTTGTGTACTGTGTAACACGCTATGGAGAAACTTACGTTCACATGTCATCCTTAAAATGACATTTATATTATTGTCTGATTTGTTTTAGCAAGGCTACAAACACCCTAAATGTTTGATGTGTAATGACATTACCAAAAAATAAAATAAAATCAAAGCTACACTGACATTTTTTGTTTTAGAATAAGATGTTTGTTTTTTTTGTTTTTTTTTGTATGTTTTAGAATTGAATTTTTACGGTTGAATTTATTTTGTTAACAATACACTTCATCAAAAATAACTCCTTTGAATTTTAATATATATTTTATTTTATTAATTTTCTATTAATATATATATACTGTATATATATACATACATACACAGTATATTTATACACTGTATAAACATACAATATGTATATCTATATATATACGTATATATATATATATATATATATATATATATATATATATCAAAGAACCCTGTAGAAAAACCCTGTCATTTTTTAAATATACATATGCCATTTATTAGTATGATTCCAATCTTACTAACCTCACATGTTTTGTAGGTAGTGTATCTAAATATCCTTAAAACATGATATTTCCCACTATTTCCCCCTGTTTTAAGCACAAAACTCAAAATTTGGTTTGGAAAAATGAGGTAGATAAACGTCAGATCTTATACAGTATTGCTAAAAATGTATTTTGTTTTGAATCACATTTCACCTGAAAACAATACAAAAATACTGATTAGGGAAATTAATAATTTCAGCAAATTATTATATTGAATTTCTGAGGTAATAATATTGCTTATTCAAAGCTCATTTAATATTGTTTATTCGCTCACAGCACATTGTTATTGAAAACTCAACATGCTCAAATTCACGAATAAATGATCAGAAATGTAAAACTCTTCCAGTATCTCGGCAGCACCATAAAGATCAAAATCTTATGGGAACGTCAAATGATCAAAGCACATCTTAACCATCAACAGAGTAACACAGAATTTTAAAAAAGCTGATTCCTCATTAATAATTCATCCAAACATTTGCATGTATCATGTGATATGCAAAACAGATCCCACTGTATCTAGTAGAATGAGATTCATATTTAATAACAGGACAGCAGCCATAAGCTCCATAAGATCAACAATGGGGGAAATGTCTTCAAAAGCGCTTCATCTGATCTCGGAAAACCCCATTAACAACAAATTAGCCTCGCCAGCATGATTCATTAATCTTGTGGGAAAACACTGGACGGATGTGTGGAAGTGAGATCCCGCGGGAACAGCTCTTCATCATGCATGAACATGTACACACACACACACACACACACAAACATACACATGTGAAGCGACACTGGACGGATGTGTGGAAGTGAGATCCCGCGGGAACAGCTCTTCATCATGCATGAACATGTACACACACACACACACACACACACATACACATGTGAAGCGACACTGGACGGATGTGTGGAAGTGAGATCCCGCGGGAACAGCTCTTCATCATGCATGAACATGTACACACACACACACACACACACACATACACATGTGAAGCGACACTGGATGGATGTGTGGAAGTGAGATCCCGCGGGAACAGCTCTTCATCATGCATGAACATGTACACACACACACACACACACACATACACATGTGAAGCGACACTGGATGGATGTGTGGAAGTGAGATCCCGCGGGAACAGCTCTTCATCATGCATGAACATGTACACACACACACACACACACACACACACACATACACATGTGAAGCGACACTGGATGGATGTGTGGAAGTGAGATCCCGCGGGAACAGCTCTTCATCATGCATGAACATGTACACACACACACACACACACACACATACACATGTGAAGCGACACTGGATGGATGTGTGGAAGTGAGATCCCGCGGGAACAGCTCTTCATCATGCATGAACATGTACACACACACACACACACACACACATACACATGTGAAGCGACACTGGACGGATGTGTGGAAGTGAGATCCCGCGGGAACAGCTCTTCATCATGCATGAACATGTACACACACACACACACACACACATACACATGTGAAGCGACACTGGATGGATGTGTGGAAGTGAGATCCCGCGGGAACAGCTCTTCATCATGCATGAACATGTACACACACACACACACATACACATGTGAAGCGACACTGGATGGATGTGTGGAAGTGAGATCCCGCGGGAACAGCTCTTCATCATGCATGAACATGTACACACACACACACACACACACATACACATGTGAAGCGACACTAGAAATCTGTCGAAAGCTGCTGGACAAATCCTGAGAAAACCACATTAGTCTTTAGGAACTCGCTAGTGGCAGTAAAGACATTTATAAAGTCTGTTTTCAACACTGATAATAATCATAAATGTTTCTTGAGCATCAGATCATCATATTAGAGTGATTTCTGAAGGATCATGTGACACTGAAGACTGGAGTAATGATGCTGAATTCAGCTTTGATCACAAGAAATTGTTTTAAATTGTAATAATATCTCACAAATTTTATTGTATTTTTAACTAATAAATGTAGCCTTTAAAGAGACTTTTTAAAAATATATATATATTCAAACTTTTTTGAAGAGAGGAATATTCTCGTATTAATCAAATATTGGTGTCTTCCTTTGACATCCTTTATGAGGTAAAATTAATGGCAAGTTATGGCCAATAACTAACAAATGGCTGACATTAGAAATCTATATTAATTTGTGTAAATAAAGTAAATCTAAAACAAGAAAAAAAAAGTAAAATGCTACAATTGAATTTAAGCATCACAAAGTTACAGTTTGAAAATGGATATTCATTTTGAGATTTGCTAAAGATTACATGCAACTGTTATTAGATTATTAAAGTTGCCGAATAACTTTAGAGAGCATTAGATAAAGACAGCACAAATAAAAAAATGTAAATGAGAACGTATTTAATATCTGACCGTTTTGGCTCACTTCGAGTCAGACTCATGAATTCAGTGAATCATTGACTGTCACTGAAGAATCGGATCATTTGAATCAGTGAGTTGATGACTTTAGAGAGCATTAGATAAAGACAGCACAAATAAAAAATATAAATGTAAAAAGAGGGTAAATGAGAACGTATTTAATATCTGACCGTTTTGGCTCATTTCGAGTCAGACTCGTGTACTCAGTGAATCATTGGCTGAAGAATCGGATCATTTGAATCAGTGAGTTGATGACTCACTGAAACAACGTGGAACGACACGTAGTTCATAACTTCAGGGAATCTGCTCACTGTATATCCAGAGAAGAGCGCGCTGTAAGCCACATCATAACTGGACTGTGAACAGTAAAGAAAGAAAGAAAAAATCACACACAGATTTTTTTCCCCTTTAACTGCCCCTACAGGACAAGAGCTGGAGTTGTCTGGCTCTGCACGTGTGTGTGTGTGTGTGTGTGTGTGTGTGTGTGTGTGTGTGTGTGTGTGTGTGTGTGTGTGTGTGTGTGTGTGTGAGAGAGTGAGTGAGTGAGTGAGTGTGAGAGTGAGTGAGTGAGTGAGTGAGTGAGTGAGTGTGTGTGTGTGTGTGTGTGTGTGTGTGTGTGTGTGTGTGTGTGTGTGTGTGTGTGTGTGTGTGTGTGTGTGTGTGTGTGTGTGTGTGTGTGTGTGTGTGTGTGTGTGTGTGTGTGTGTGTGAGTGAGTGAGCAAATGAGTGCGTGTGAGAGAGAGAGAGAGAGAGAGAGAGAGAGAGAGAGAGTGAGTGAGTGTGCGTATGTGTGCGTGTGAGTGAGTGAGTGAGTGAGTGAGTGAGCGAGTGAGAGTGTGTGTGCGTGTGAGTGAGTGAGTGAGTGAGTGAGTGAGTGAGTGAGTGAGTGAGTGAGTGAGTGTGTGTGTGTGTGTGTGTGTGTGTGTGTGTGTGTGTGTGTGTGTGTGTGTGTGTGTGTGTGTGTGTGTGTGTGTGTGTGTGTGTGTGTGTGTGAGTGAGCAAATGAGTGCGTGTGAGAGAGAGAGAGAGAGAGAGAGAGAGAGAGAGAGTGAGTGAGTGTGCGTATGTGTGCGTGTGAGTGAGTGAGTGAGTGAGTGAGTGAGTGAGTGAGTGTGTGTGTGTGTGTGTGTGTGTGTGTGTGTGTGTGTGTGTGTGTGTGTGTGTGTGTGTGTGTGTGTGTGTGTGTGTGTGTGTGTGTGTGTGTGTGTGTGAGTGAGCAAATGAGTGCGTGTGAGAGAGAGAGAGAGAGAGAGAGAGAGAGAGAGAGAGTGAGTGAGTGTGCGTATGTGTGCGTGTGAGTGAGTGAGTGAGTGAGTGAGTGAGCGAGTGAGAGTGTGTGTGCGTGTGAGTGAGTGAGTGAGTGAGTGAGTGAGCGAGTGAGAGTGTGTGTGCGTGTGAGTGAGTGAGTGAGTGAGTGAGCGAGTGAGAGTGTGTGTGAGTGAGTGAGTGAGTGAGTGAGTGTGTGTGTGTGTGTCATACCTGTCAAGTATCCCGTTTTGGCCGGGAAAGTCCCGTATTTTACCCTTTTTTCCCGCCGTCCTCCCGTATTAGGATTTTCCCGTAAATCTCCCGTATTTTAACCTGCGTTATTGAATAATAATAATACCCCTGGCGGAGTTAAAAAAAAAAAAAAAAATCCCAATCTGAGCTCTGTCACTATAGCCTCGCGATAACTACAGGTATTGTCGGTGGCAGTTGTCGCGAGGTTAGTGTGTGAGGTCAGATGATGAGTGACAACGCGGGGGAAACAAAAAACAAACAAATCGGATGATCTACACTAAGACAGAGCAAGGCACTCCAGCCAAAAAACCAAAACCCTCATGTACCAAATACCGCGATCAATGGGATAGCGAATTTACTTTTCTGAAGGAGGAGCAGGGTGGGGGACAGTCACGCGTTTTGTAAGTTTTGTAACTGCGACTTTAGCATCTCACACGGGGAAGGAATGATCAGCACGAGAAAGGGTGTTTAGCATACACGCAAGATTGTTA